AATCAGGATGAAGGTGGAGGGGTTGGTAAAATCAGTTGTGTTGAAATATGACATGGGGTAGGTGAGAAGGCATCCAACTCAGAAGCAGAACCGTGTCTCCTGCATCTATTGTATGTTCCCGTGACTTGTTTTATATGCCCAGTCTCTAGGGCGATGGTCACAGTATCGATACCTGGATGAAGAGACAATGACAATGGAGAGACTACTGCAGGATATTTTCATGGCTCCTGCAGATTGTTCAATCTTCACACACAGAGCAAAGATATTTTCATTGTGCAGAGTAGTGACTCATGAGTCACTGGTTCCACTAATGATAATTCTAGAAATTTCTATGTTTGATGAATTCCTAATTGTCGTGGTAAGATTAATAGGCATTAGAGGGGAACAGGAGTGTGGATATGTGTTATCCCTCATTGTTTTCTAATGGAAAGATACCAGGATAGATATTCAGTGCTGTAAGGAGTTCCTGTTAACCTGGTAGATAAATGTGTGCGAATGGAAAATAAAAATCTTTGATGAGACATGTTTTGGGGATACCTCCCAACTAGAATACACCTGAGAGAAAAGATCTGGTAGTCACTTGTAGCACCACCATGCCTGCATCAAGAACTTTGCAATTGATGTTAGTATGTATTCGATTCTCTTATCAATTTTTGTTTCCTTCCTTCCTTCCTTCCTTCCTTCCTTCCTTCCTTCCTTCCTTCCTTCCTTCCTTCCTTCCTTCCTTCCTTCCTTCCTTCCTTCCTTCCTTCCTTCCTTCCTTCCTTCCTTCCTTCCTTCCTTCCTTCCTTCCTTCCTTCCTTCCTTCCTTCCTTCCTTCCTTCCTTCCTTCCTTCCTTCCTTCCTTCCTTCCTTCCTTCCTTCCTTCCTTCCTTCCTTCCTTCCTTCCTTCCTTCCTTCCTTCCTTCCTTCCTTCCTTCCTTCCTTCCTTCCTTCCTTCCTTCCTTCCTTCCTTCCTTCCTTCCTTCCTTCCTTCCTTCCTTCCTTCCTTCCTTCCTTCCTTCCTTCCTTCCTTCCTTCCTTCCTTCCTTCCTTCCTTCCTTCCTTCCTTCCTTCCTTCCTTCCTTCCTTCCTTCCTTCCTTCCTTCCTTCCTTCCTTCCTTCCTTCCTTCCTTCCTTCCTTCCTTCCTTCCTTCCTTCCTTCCTTCCTTCCTTCCTTCCTTCCTTCCTTCCTTCCACAGAATGCTTTTTCTGTAAGATTCCTAGTTATAAATTGGCCTGGTCCTTTGGGATCAGAAGAACCTTTTTATTAGGTATACAGCTACACTGTGGGCAAAAGTCGAATTAAGCTATGCAACTTTAGCTAAATCAATTGAGTAGCAGAAGTCGAAATAGCTTAACTCGGCTTTTGGCACTGTCTACAAGGGGTATTCCGGGTGCTCCTGGAGGAGAACTGCAGTGTCCGAGGGAATTACTTGTATGTCTTCTTAAACTATATTTGATTAGTAACAAAACAAGGGGTAATGCCTAGGCCTTCCCAGGATCTGGTGGATGGGCAGATAGCAGAGAGACAGACCTGGAGAAGATACCAAACTGGGTGGGGTTGCAACTTCTTTGGAGGATAGGGACATAATTCAAAATGACCTTAGCAAGTTAGAGAAATGTTCAGAGGTAAACAGGATGAGGTTTAAGAAAGAGAAATGCAAAGTGCTCCACTTAGGAAGGAACAATCAGTTCCATACATACAAGATGGGAAGCGACTGTCTAGGAAGGAGCATGGCGGAAAGGGATCTAGGGGTCATAGAGGACCACAAGTTGAATATGAGTCAACAGTGTGATGCTGTTGCAAAAAAAAGCAAATATGATTCTAGGTTGTATCAACAGCTGTGTTGTAAGCAAAACTCATGAAGTCATTCTGCCACTCTACTCTGCACTAGTTAGGCCTCAGCTGGAGTACTGTGTCCAGTTCTGGGCGCCACATTTCAAGAAAGATGTGGAGAAATTGGAAAGGGTACAGAGAAGAGCGACAAGAATGATTAAAGGTTTAGAGAACATGACCTATGAAGCCAGGCTTCATGAATTGGGCTTGTTTAGTTTGGAAAAAAGAAGATTAAGGGGGGACATGATAGCGGTTTTCAAATATCTAAAAGGGTGTCACAAGGAGGAAGGAGAAAATTTGTTCCTCTTGGTTTCTGAGGACAGGACAAGGAGTAATGGGCTTAAAGTGCAGCAGGGGAGGTTTAGACTGGACATTAGGAAAAAATTCCTAACTGTCAGGGTGGTCAGATATTGGAATAAATTGCCAAGGGAGGTGGTGGAATCTCCCTCTCTGGAGATATTTAAGAACAGGTTAGATAGACATCTGTCAGGGATGGTGTAGATGGAGCTTGGTCCTGCCTTCAGGGCGGGGGGCTGGACTCGATGACCTCTCGAGGTCCCTTCCAGTCCTATGATTCTATGATTCTAAAATTCTATGCTAAGGATGATTGAAGGGGACACCAACAGCGTGAAGTTCTTTCTTTACTTGATTGGGATGCGTTGGACATGAGGACCGCCAGTCTTGGGCTGCAAATAGCTCTGTCCCTGAACATTTTACCCTTAATGGATACTCTCAGCAGTGCCCTCCAAAGCCACCTTATAGCACCCGAATGGAAAGGGATAGAATGTGACCTGCTCTGGACATATGCTCGGTTTGGGTCGTCCATCTCTAGAGAGAAGACAGCTGATTGAAGGGGGTTTCTAAGCCAGGCTATGAGACTGGAGGAGGCTGCCATAGGACTGCAGGCTGGACAGGGATAGGGAAGTGAAAAAATGGCATATAATAGAATAGAGCAAAATACTTAATTCTCTCAAAAAGGCTCATTCCACAAAGCTGAGGTAAATAACCAGAGAAACTGACTAGGAGAAAAAATGCAGACAGAAAAATAGGCATGAAAATTGGGAGTTCTTTAATTAGAGATATTAGACAGGCTGTGTCCAGACTCAGGGTTTTTTTCGGGAAAAGTAGCCTTTTCCCGAAAAAACTTTCCCTGCGTCCAGACTCAAGCCGCGTTCTTTCGAAATAATTTCGAAAGAACGCGGCTTTTCTTTCGATGGCGGTAAACCTCGTTTCACGAGGAAGAACGCCTTCTTTCGAAAGTTCCTCTTTCGAAAGAAGGCGTTCTTCAATGTAAATAGGGCTTCCTCGAAAGAGAGCATCCAGACTCGCTGGGTGCTCTCTTTCGAAAAAGCGGATTGCTCTTTCGAAAGATCCGCCTGCAGTCTAGACGCGATCTTTCGAAAGAGGCTCTTTCGAAAGATACTTTCGAAAGAGCTTCTTTCGAAAGTAGCCTGCAGTCTAGACATAGCCACAGAGAAAAAGTCAAAATCCCACAGTTAAGCAAGTGTTCAATTATAGATAAAAATGTGGCTAAGTGTCAACTTAAAGGCAACAATTGGGGGAAGCAATATCAAACAAATGAGAAAAGGAGGAAGTAGTTGGCGAATAATATAGATTGTATATAATGAAGATCAGTAATGCTGATAAAAACACTAGGGAAAATTCCATGCTTTGCTGGGTTAAGGCTCAAAAGGGGAGGTTTTAAAATATAGTAAGAAGAAAGAAATACTAGAGAATGCATAGGCAAATTCTTGAATGAGAAAGGAAAGCATCTTCCAATTTGCAAGAAGATGTGTTCAAGAAATAGATTTGTGCAGCATTTTGAAAGAAGCAATAGGATGCACCAATCTCATATCAGGTGCTGAAAAATTTTCCAATCCAATGGCACTGAAAAAGATGGTTAAACAGCATCTGCAGTAGAACCGTAGGGTGTGTCTAGACTACATGGCTCCGTCGATGGAGCCATGTAGATGAGGCAGGACGACAAAGGGAAATGAAGCGGTGATTTAAATAACCGCCGCTTCATTTGACTCAAAACGGCTGCCGCGCTGTGCCGATCAATTGTTTGTCAGCACAGCACAGAACTCTAGATGGGGATTTGCTGAACCCAGGACCCTTCGTCGGCAGATCTTTTATGTCTTGTGAATCAGCATTATTTCAGAATAACAGCTGTTATCCCGAACTAACTTTCTGAGCATCTACACAGCAAGCCTGTTATTTCAAAATAAGTTCAATATAACGGGCGATTTATTCTGGATTCTGTATACCACATTCCACGAGGAATAACGCCTCTTCCAAAATAGACAGTTTGGAACAGAGGTAGACTGGGTGCCCTACTGCTGCTCTTTTGAAATAGCTCCTTTCCCAGGCCATTCAAAGTAATTACTCGCCCATGCTTCCTGGGGCTCTACAGTGAGGTAGCACGTCTGCATTAGGGGAGCCTGTCTCAGATTCATTTCAAGGCTTCCCTGCAGTGTAGATGTTCTATTTTGAAATAAGCTATTTTGGAGCATTTCTTCCAGAATAGCTTAATCTGAATTAAATGTGCAATGTAGACGTACCCTTAGAGTTCTGAACACCCCAAGGGTGCCAGAAGAGGGCTTGAGCCCTTGATCTCTGGCTCCCAAGGTGGGTACCTTCTCCACTGTGTCACTCTAGGAGTCCCCCCAATGTTCCTACATTTTGGGCCCCCCTTATAGGTCCTATGTCTGAAGGGTTATGAGCTAACAAGTCAACTTCACTTCACAAACCGAACCCAGCAGTGCACAATTAAGCATCATCAGAGTAAAAAAAAAATAGCAACCACGTCAAATACAGGACAGAACTCTGTTAAATGTAGAGATGTAAAATTAAGAGACATTGAAAAGACTTGACAAAGCTAAGACCCAATAAAACTGTTATGGGATTAGTTTAAAATGTGTAGGAATATAGTGAATGACACTCAATAATAGGTAATATTGAGAGCGGGTCTTGTAAAAACAATACTATTTCTTTCCGTAATAACAGTACATGTTTGGTTGATGAAGGAAACACACTGATTCCACGAGCTTCAAATTCTCTGAGGCTTTCCCTTGACTAGTGGTAAATGTTCAGATAAAAATGAGCAGTGCACAGAATCTGT